GGGTGCCGCTCGGACTTCGCGTTAGGTCGGGCCTGTCCCCCTGCAGGGGGACTTTGGGCGAACAAAAATACCACCAAAAATACCCCAAAACTATGTTTTACCTATTTTTGAATCTTCCCCCTGTAGAGGGACAGGCCCGACTCAAACTTCGTGGGTCGGCGCCCCAGCCTGAGAGGGGGAACGATAGTCGGGGAGACGTAAGACTCGTGTACGAGAGACTCGGGTGGGTCCGACGGGGCCATCGTAAAAATGACGAGACCCGATCTGAAATTTGACGCGAACTCCCGCTGCAACCATCCCTCGAAAACTGGACTGTCAGAATCCAGGACGCGCTCGTCAAAAAACGTCGGCGAACCCGAGTTCCGGCTTACTCGAGTCTTACGTTTCCCCGAGATAAGGAGGGAAGGGGCTCAGGGGGGTGGGACATCGGCCGGGCGTCGGCGAGACATCGCCAATAGATCGGCGATGGGCGATGGCGAGTCCGCGCGCCCCTGCGCGGGGTGCGCTGCCAGGCCCCCGCAGGCGATCCATGGGCGATTGGGAGTCGATGCGCATCCTCCCCTGAGCCTGTGCCCCCCTTGCGTTGCCTCGTAGGTCGGCGCTGGACCCCCCCCCACCAGCCGTGCCTCCAGCGCCGCCCCTGGCGCGCTGCGCGGGCGAGGGGGAGGAGGGTCTGGCGTCGCTCCCTCTGGAGAGCCGCGCGGACCTTCTGACTGCCTGTGCTTCTGCCGTTGATGCTCCAGCATCGGGCAAGATCAGAGAGCTGCCAGTGAGGGTTGCCCAGATCTTCGAGTGCCAAGGCTCGCGGCTCACAGAAGAAGCAGGGACCACCGCCACCGAAAACCCATCCGGGTCGGCCGCCCCTGCTGGGTCTTCGGTGGCGGTGGTCCCTGTGCTAGAGGCCTCCCAGATGGGGTCCGAGTAGACGGGGTCGGAGGATCGCACCCCATCGCCAATGCATCGCCGATGCATCACCGATGCATCGGCGATGCATCAGCGACGTCGGCGACGCATCGGCGCCGTCGGCGTGGGGAAACACGGTCTCCTGTTCGAGCCGCATCGCCGATGCATCGGCGATGCGGCGCGATCCTCCATCTACTCGGACCCCATCTAGGAGGCCTAGATTTAGGTCGGGCATGTCCTCCTACAGGAGGATTTGGGAAGAAAGATAAACAGCCGTCAAACAGAAACAAGAAGAATCAAAAGACCACGAGAAACCATCACCTGACTATTCTTTCTACTACTCTTGAATAGTCCTCCTGTAGAGAAGGACATGCCCGTCTCAAGCCTAGATGTGCCTGCTCTGGAGAGTGGCCCCATCGGTCGCACCTCGCCGAGTGCCCTCGGGGGGGGGGGGGGCGCCTGGGCCGTCAAGAGCGAGAGCTCCTGCGGACCAGGGCTGCGCGCAAGGCCAGCCAGACTAGTTGGGGAGCCCCGGCCTCCGGGCGTCACGAACAAATCACTGCCCTGGGCCGCCCTTGGGCGCGAATTGATGGGGGGGCAACAAATGCGAGGAGGAGGAGGAGGAGGAGGAGGAGGAGGAGGAGGAGGAGGAGGAGGAGGAGGAGGAGGAGGAGGAGGAGGAGGAGGAGGAGGAGGAGGAGGAGGAGGAGGAGGAGGAGGGAGGAGGAGGAGGGATGAGGAGGAGGAGGAGGAGGAGGAAGAGGAGCAGGAGGGAGGAGGGAGGAGGAGCAGGAGGGAAAAGGAGGAGGTAGGGGAGAAGGGTGCCCTTTTCGGGCCCCACGGGCCCCCTCTGGTGCCCGACAGGGCCCCTTCACGGACCGCCCTGAAGGGTCCCTTTTCTGCAGCTCTCGCTGCCCCGCCCCCAATTGATCGCCCCCCCCCCCCCCCCATTGCGCGTCCTCCGAGGCGCTCGGGGACGCGACCTCCAAGGAGGGCCGTGTTTATGCTCTTCGCACCTGGGCAATCGCACGTCGACCAAAGGAGGAAAGCACCGTCAGACGTCACGGGGCGGGAGAACCCAAGCCATGATGGACCGATTCTCCACCACCACTACCATATGTAGGAGAGGGAAGAAGGGGGAGGAGGAGGAGGAGGAGGAGGGGGAGGAGGAGGAGGAGGAGGAGGAGGAGGAGGAGGAGGAGGAGGAGGAAGAGGAGAGGGAGGAGGGGGAAAAGGAGGAGGAGGAGGACCTCCCCATCCTCCCCTCTCCTCCGTCCTACCTATGGTAGTGGTGGTGGAGAATTGGCCCATCAAAACCATCTCGAGCCCCGTGAGGCCGCACCCCCGCGCCATCGTGAGGCCACCCTGGAGAATGGCGCCCTCTCCACTCCGAGCCGCGGTGCGCGGAGCGCGAGTCTCGTCGCGCCCCCGAGAGGGACCTACACTAGGGGCTCGACCGCAAGAGACCCAACCCTGGAACCCCAGTACGTCCATGGATTCTTGGCGTGGGGACGTCATGCTTTCCATCGCGAAACCCTCGAAACCCAAGAAATCCACGGCACCCTGGAGGCAAGCAGGGTGTTTCCTGGCATGGGTCTCCACTGTAGAGAATGAAACGGCCCCAAGCGAAAAATCGGTTCCGGTTTCGGCTCGTGTCGCGCGTGCGGGCGAGGCGAAGCTGCGCGGGGCGACGAGGTATCAGACAGGGTTACCAAGGTCAGGTCGGGGAAAAAGGGTCCTGCTCCGGTGTCTCGCGGTAGCCCGCGGGGTTCTCGTGTGTTGTCCAGTGGTTGACCCGATGCCATCTCGAGGATTGTCCCGTGGTTGTCCTGTGGGTTGTTCTGTGGTTGTCCAGTGGATTGTCCCGTTGTTTCCCATTGCGGTCGTCCCGCGGGTCTCGCAAGCAGGTTGTTTTGCAATTAACACGCTACTCAAATCCAATGTATCACTTGCACTCGAAATGCAAATCGGCACGCGAATCGGAGTCTAAATCGACTCGTAAATAAAGACGCACAGCGAAATGAATATACAGTTGCACTCGAAGTCAAAATCAACAAGCACATCGACATGCAAATCGGAACTCCGATGAAATTGCAGTCGAACTGAACATCAGCATGGAAATCGCATTGCAAATCGACATGCACATCGCCGTGCAAATCAAACTGCAATCAACATGCAAATCGAAATGCGAGTCCACTTACAACGAATTGCGTGCGTGCGTTGCCCCATGGATGTCGATTGCTCCGTGGGTTGTCGTGTGGCTGTCCCATGGGTTGTCCCTTTGGCTGTCCCATGGTTGTTTGTTCCGTAGTTGTCAGTGGGCTGTTTCGCGAGTTGTCCCGTAACTGTCCAAAATTCGAAATGGAAATCAATAGGGGAATATACAAGCCCATCGACATCATCATCAAAATGGCAACCGAAATGTTAATCGAAATCCAGATAAGCGAACATAGCGCTGCATTCGAAGTGCAAATCGAAGTAGTTCAAATCCAACTTTGACCGATGTGCAAATCGCAACGTCAATCGAATCGGAATACACATCGACATACACTTCAAACTACAAATCAACATACGCATCGAGATTCCAATCGAAAGGCAAGTGCCTCTCGCGCACACACACACATACAATCCTCCGACGCGCTGACAAGACGAAACAGTGGTTTAAAGCATTGGCGGGCGACGCTCACAGTGATTAACCTCTTTACGAAGAAGCCACGTGGATGAATTCAGATTCTCTCTTATTCTCTCTCTCTCTCTCTCACACTGGTCCTCCGACGCGCCGAAGTGTTCAGGGCAAATTCAATTCCTTGTCAAGGAGGAGGGGACAGGGGAGGGGAAGGGGCAGGGGGAGAAAGAGGAAGAGGAGGGCGATGAGGAAGGAGAAAGAGACGAAGGAGGGAGAAGGAAGGATGAGGATGAAGATGGGAACGATGAGGATTACGTAGATGAGAAGGACAATGAGAAGATGAGATGACGAGGAAGATGAGCAGGAGGAGAAAGAAGGATGAAGGAGGGGAAGGAGGAGGAAGAGCGGCAACGGTGAGTAACATGAGGATGTTGCTGGTCTGAGGGGTCCTCTTGGGGCCCTCTCGGCCTTTGGGGACGTATTGGGTCCACCTTGAAGCCACTGGCTGGGTGGGGCGGGTGGGGCCTGAGCACAGGGCTTCGCGCACACTCGAAACGTGGCCACACGAACGTGGGCCAAGAACGTGAGCCTCTTCGTCACAGGCCCGGGGCCCCACGCAGCTGCAAACAGCGAAGACCCTTGCACGCGAGGCGCACAGCCTCAACACGAAGAGCTCGGGGCACGGACACGGGCACGGCGACTGCTCGTCTCGCGGCGCGGGACGGCGATACGAGGGGCTAGGCAGTGGCGCCTCGGCGCCAACAGGAAGGTTCAAACCCAATGCGGGTTGGGAAAAGAGGTGGGGAGGAACTCGGAGGTGGCCAGAACCCCCTTGGGCAAGACATGCGGGCGGTACCTCTGTCCATACCCACTGCAATATGGAGTTTCGGGCCCCCTTCCCCAGAACCGCAAGGCGCACTGGATATGGATAAATGTGCCCACTAGGGGCTCGAATTGTATCCATATCCAGTGCACCTCGGCCTCGTGGCGCCCCTTCCAAAAAAGTCCAAGACGCACTGGATATGGATGCAAATCTTGCGCGCAAGACGCCCTCCAGCGAGGTGCCAGACCCGGCGGGCGCGAGCCCGCAAAGGATGTGGGCCCGACACCCTCCCGAGGACCGGGCAGGGGCAACTCGCTGCCCGACGCGGCGGGGGGGGGGGTCGATCAACCTCCCAAGAAGGGAAGCAGACGCAGAAAACAAACTGCATACACATGACTACCTACCAGACCACCCCAACCCAACCCGAAGACCCGAATTGCGGGTTGGGGGGGGGTAAGGGCTCCACATGTGTCCTTTCGATGTCTCCCGACCCCCCCACTGGAAATCGAGGGTAAATCTGAGCCTTCGGGGAGGAGGAGGAGGAGGAGGAGGAGGAGGAAAAGGAGGAGGAGGAGGAGGAGGAGGGGTTAGGTTGGTTTGATGTGTGGTTTCGCACACGAACGTTCGGAGCTCCGCGCGGACCGCTTGGCTCGGCGCCAGGCCCCCTCCCTGGCGTGCTGCCCGCGCCGGGGGCGGCGACGGAGGCGCCGCAAAGGGGGAGCCCAGCGCCAGCCCAAGAGATCCGCACGGAGCTCCGAGGCTTCGGCTTGTGCAGCTGCTTCTTCTTCTTCAAACAAGGGTACCCCTCTAGGGCCAGGATGGTAATAATCAGGATGGTCATGATGACAACGACGACGACGACGACGACCACGACGACGATGACGACGGTGATGATGATGATGATGATGATGATGATGATGATGATGATAATAATGATGATGATAATAATGATGATGGTGAAGATAGCTTCCGGTGCTGTGCTGCTGCGCATCTGGGCGCAGCACAACACCAGACATCATGATCACCATCACCACCAGCATCATAGTGATCAGCATCATCACCACAAGCACCATCATCATCATCATCATCACCACCACCATCACCACCATCATCATCCTCATCATCATTATCATCATCATCCTCAACACCATCTTCATCATCACCACCACCACCACCACCACCATCATCATCATCATCATCATCATCATCATCATCATCATCATCATCATCATCATCATCATCATCATCATCATCATCATCATCATCATCATCATCATCGCCACCATAATCATCATCATCAGCAGCATCAGCATCAGCATCACGGAAAACACCAGGGCTGCTGTGATTTCTACGCGGCGCCAGAGGCTTGGCCACGGCGCCCGCCTGTGCGTCCAGGCGTGCCATCAGCTCGGCCTTGGTGCCAGACACCTTCAGGCCCGCCTCCCTGAGCAACTCCTTCAGCTGTGCCACGGTGAGCTTCTCGAGGTCCTCTCGAGGGGCGTGCATACGAGGCCCGTGACGGGCGTGAATCAGATGCACATCAGACACAGACAATAAGAAAGCATACCATACTAAATCTTGGGACACCTGATTCGTCGATTTGTGAGGGTCTTGCGGCACAGAGCTTCCGTGGGTCCCTGGGGCCAAGTTGTTTGGTTTCTCGAGTGGCCGATCGCTTCTGTGAAGCCCCGTGTTTTCCTAGAAGGCTATCACCCCCGACTGCCTCTTGCTCTTCCTCATCCTCCTCCTCCTCATCGCCACCACCGCCATCATCATTCTCATCATCATTATAACCACCACAACCATCATCATCACCACCACCACCATCATCATCATCATCACCATCATCATCACAACCATCATCACACATACACAAGCATCATCATCATCAGCAGCAGCATCATCATGATCATCCGCTTCCTCCTCATCATGGTCATTCCCCCTCCCCGAGAAGCCTCCGGAGGCAGGGGGCGGGCGCCCGGGGCCGAGGACGCCCCCTCCTGGGAACCCGGGGGCGTCTTCCGCTCGTACAGCATCCGGCACCGCGAGGAGCACTGGCGGCGCGGCCGCCCCTGCAGCGCGCTCCTGCAGGCCACGGCGACGACGACGACGACGACGACGACGACGGCGACGACGGTGACGACGACGAAGACGAGGGCGACGACGACGGCAACGACGCCGACGACGGTTGCGACGGCAGCGACGGCGACCACGACGACGACGATGACGACGACGACATCGATGACGACCAAGATGACGACGACGACGACGACGACGACAACGACTAGCAGGATGACAATGATGACGACGACGACGACGACGACGACGACGGCGACGACGATGACGTCGACGAAGAGGCCGAAAACGACGCCGCCGCCGCCAACGACGACCACGACGAAGACGACGAAGACGTCGACGACGACAAAGACGAAGACGACAACGACAAAAAGGATAACGACGACAACGACAACGGCGACAACGTCGAAGACGACGATAACGACGACGACAACGAAGACGACGACGACGAAGACGATGACGACGACAGCGGCGACGACGACGACGACGGCGACGACGATGACGTCGACGACGACGACGACGACCACGACCACGTCGACGACGCTATACGACGGACACGACGACGACGACGACGACGAAGACGGAGACGGCAACGACAACAACGACGACGGGCGATGGCGATGTCGGCGGCGACCACGACGACAACGACGACGACGACGACGACGACGACGACGACGACGGCGGCGACGGCGACAAAGATGACGACGGCGGCGGCGGCGACGACGACGACGGCGGCGACAGCGACAAAGATGACGGCGACGGCGGCGACGACGACGACAATGACGCCGACGACGACGACGACGACAACAACGACGACGACAACGACGACGACGACGATGACGACGACGACAGCGACGAAGACGACGACGACGATGACGACGGCGGCAACGGCAGCGACAACGACGACGACGGCGGCGACGACGACGACGACTACGACGACGATGATGTCGACGAAGACGACAACGACGACAACGACGCACACGACGGCGACGACGACGATGACGACGACGACGAGGAAGACGAGGACGACGACGACGGCGACGACGCCGACGACGTCGACAGCGGCAGCGACGGCGACGACGCTAACGACGACGCAGACGATGACGACGACGACGACGAAGACGACGACGACGACGACGAAGACGACGTCGACGGCGGCGGCGGCGGGGACGGCGGCGGCGGTGGCAACGACGACGACGACGTTGACGGCAATGGCTACGACGACAACGACGACGACGGCGACGACGACGACGACGACGAAGACGCCGTCAACGGCGGCGGCGGGCGGCAACAACGACGACGACGACGTCGACGGCAACGGTTACGACGACAACGACGACGACAGCGACGACGACGACGACAACGAAGAAGACCATGACGACGACGGCGACGACGACGACGACGACGGCAACGACGACGGCGGCGACGACGACGACGACGTCGACGAAGACGTCGACAACCACGACGACGACGACGACGACGGCGACGACGACGACGACGACGGCGACGACGACCGCACCGACGACGACGACGACGAAGACGACGCCGACAGCAGCAGCGGCGGCAGCGGCGACGAGGACGACGAAAACTACGACGTCGACGACGACGACGTCACTGGCGGCGACGACGAACATGGCGACGACGACAGCGATGACCACAACGACGACGACGACGATAACGACGACGAAGACGACGACGACAACAACGACTACGACGACGACGACGACGGCGTCGACGACGGGCGATGACGACGACGAACACAATGACGCCGACGACGACGACGAAGACGATGACCACGACCACGACGACGACGACGACGACGACGACGACGACGACGACCCGCTGGCCGCGAGCAGCGGCGCGAGCCGCGGCCGTGGCCAGCGCTGCCGGCGACGACGACGACGACGATGACGACGACGGCGACGACGACGACGACGGCGACGACGATGACGACGGCGGCGGCGACGACGACGGCGTCGACGACGACGACGATGACCACGACGAAGACGGCGACGACGATGACGGCGGCGGCGACCGGCGACGACGACAGCAGCCGCGGCGACGGCGACGACGATGACAAAAACGGCGTCGATGAACACGAAGACGACGACGACGACGATTGCGGCCACGACGACGACGACGACGAAGGCAACGACGACGACGACGATGGCGACGACGACGACGGCGACGACGACGACGACGATAACGACGACGGCGACGACGACGACAACGAAAACGATGACGACGACGACGTGGGCGACGACGACGACGACGACGACGACGACGACGACGGCAACAGCAGCGGCGGCGGCGGCGACGAGGACGACGGCAACAACGACCACGACGATGGCGGCGACGACGGCGACGAAGACGACGACGGCGACGGCGGCGACGACGACGACGAAGACGACAACGACGGAGGCGACGACGACGACGACGACGACGACGACGACGGCGCCGACGACGGCGACGACGACGACGACGACGACAACGACGACGATGACGACAACGACGACGACGACGACGGCGACGACGACGACGACGACGACAACGGCGGCAGCGGCGACGACGGCGACAACGACGATGACGACAAGGACGATGACGACGACGGCGACCCACGACGCCGTCGGCAGCAGCGGCGGCGGCGGCGACGACGACGACACGACGACGACGACGACGACGACGACAACGACGACGACGACGACGACGACAACAACAATGACGTCGACGAAGATGACGACGGCGGCGGCGACGACAACGACGACGACGACGACGACGAAGTTGACGATGACGGCGCCAACGACGACGACGGCGGTGAGAACGACCACGATGACGTCGACGACGACGACGACGACAACGACGACAATGACGACGACGACGACGACGACAACGACGACGAAGACGACGACGACGATGACGGCGACGAAGACGACGACGACGACAACGACGACGGCGACGACAACAACGACGATGACTACGAAGACGAAGACGACGACGACGGCGACGAAGACGAAGACCTCGACGACGACGGCGGCGACGACAACGTCGGCGACGGCTGCGACGGCGGCAACGATGGCGGCGGCGACGACGACGACGATGGCGGCGGCGGCGGCGGCGACGACGACAAAGACGACGACGACGACGACGAGGACGACGACGACGACGACAACGGCGGCAGCGGCGACGACGGCGACAACGACGGCGGCGGCGGCGACGACGACGACGACGATGGCGGTGGCGGCGGTAGCGGTGGCGACTACGACGCAGACGACGACCACGACGAAGACGACGGCGACGACGACGACGACGACGAGGACGAGGACGACGACGACGACGACGACGACGACGACGACGACGACAACGGCTGCAGCGGCGACGACGGCGACAACGACGGCGGCGAAGCCGAAGAGGAGGAGGAGGAGGCACGACGACGACGACGAAGAAGCCGACGACGACGGCGACGAAGACCACGACGACGTCGGCGACGGCGACGACGACGGCGGCAACGGCGACGACGGCGGCGACGATGGCGGCGGCGGCAACGACGCCGACGACGGCGGCGGCGGCGGTGGCGGCGGCGATGACGACGACGAAGACGATGACGACGACGACGACGACGACGACGACGACGGCGACGACGACGACGAGGACGACGACGACGACGACAACGGCGGCAGCGGCGACGACGGCGACAACGATGGCGGCGGCGACGACGACGACGATGGCGGTGGCGGCGGCGGCGGCGGCGGCGGCGGCGGCGACGACGACGACGACGATGACGACGACGAAGACGAAGCCGCCGTCGGCGGGGGGTGCGGTGACACTCGAGGGTGAGGGCGATGGCGAGAGCCGGCGACGACGACGACGACGAAGCCGAAGAGGAGGAGGAGGAGGCACGAAGACGACGACGACGAAGCCGCAGAGGAGGAGGATGAGGCGGCTGATGGCGACGACGAAGACGACGATGACGATAACGGCGACGAAGACGCCGACGACGACGTCATCCTGCTCGAACCTCTATCCTCCCTCCTCCTGTCCTCCCCTACCCGAGGGGCCGAAGACGCACACCACCACGACCAGCGACCAGCGAACGACGGCTGGCGACCGAACAACGACGACGACGACGACGACGACGACGACGACGACGACGACGACGACGAACGGCGAAGGCGGCGACGGACAAAGGCGGCGACGACGAACGGCGACGGCTGCGGCGGCGACGACGACGACGACGACGACGACGACGACGACGACGACGACGAACGGCGAAGGCGGCGACGGACAAAGGCGGCGACGACGAACGGCGACGGCTGCGGCGGCGACGGCGAGCAGCCGCGGAGGGCGCCCGCAGAGGGCGCCGGCCGCCGCGCCCAGGGCCCCGCGGCGGCGCCCCGCGGCGGCGCCGGCGGCCGCTGCTGGCAGGGCGCGCTCGGCGGCTCCTCGCGGCGACGGCGACGACGGCGACGACGACGACGACGACGGCGACGACGGCGGCGGCGGCGGCGAGGGTGAAGGCATCTCCTGTCGCCCGCTGGCCGCGAGCGGCGGCGCGAGCCGCGGCCGTGGCCGCCGCTGCCGAGGGGGCGCGCACAGTGGCGACCGCGGCTCCCCACATCATGGCGAGCGCCCGCGGCCCCTCGGCGGCGCTCAGCGCGGCACGGGGGCCGCTGGGGGTGCGGCGCCAAGCTGTCTGCGGTCCGAGGATGAGGAGGAGGAGGAAGAAGAAGAGGAGGAGGAGGACGAGGAGGAGGAGAAGGAGGAGGAGAAGGAGGAGAAGGAGGAGAGGAAAGGAGAGAAGGAGAAGAGGAAGAGGAGGAGGAGGAGGAGGAGGAGAGGAGCAGGAAGAAGAGGAAAGGAGGAGGAGGAGGAGAAGGAGGAGAAAGGAGGAGGAGGAGGGAGGAGGAGGAGGAGGGGGGAGGAGGAGGAGGAGGAGGAGGGGGAGAAGGAGGATGATGAGGAGGGAGGAGGAGGAGGAGGAGGAGGAGGAGGAGGAGGAGGAGGAGGAGGAGGAGGAGGAGAAGAAGACGAGCGTACGCAAGGAGGAGGAGGAGGAGAAGGAGGAGCAGGAGGAGCAAGGAAGAGGAGGAGGACCAGAGTTAAGCCTGACCAACGTACATCGACGATGCCGCAGTTACACCCCTCCCCTGCTCGCAAGTCCCGCGTCCCCTGCTCGCAAGTCCCTCAAAAGAACCCCCGTTCTCACTGCAAGGAGCGCCCTTCGAAAGGCCCGCACCCTGTTGGCCGGTCATTTTGGCGACAGCCCCGTCTTGAAATGAAGCTGTCTTGCATCATTCTGGCGAGCACCAAAGAATACGAAAAAAAATGATCGTACAACTCAGCGAGGTGTCCAGCCGGGAGTGGCCGGGAGTGGCCTTAAGCGACTATTGGCCGGATCCTTCCCCACCTTTCACTGCTTTCCTCGGCCTCTGGCCGAGTGTGTCCAGGTCAGCGGCAGCCTGTCACCTACAACTACAACAAGCGAGGTGTCCAGCGAGATCTCCTGTTGAAAAAGGGCCAACCCCATCTTGCGCAACTCTTGCACGAGTTCGAACGTCTGGTCATAAGCTTGAAAAGTAGCCGCCCTTCATTTCTAAAAGGAACCACCCTCCATCCGTGCAGCTGCTCCATGTGTCCGAGCTTCTGGTCTACATGCAACCAAGTTTCAAGCCAAAGAAATCTTACGGCAAGGAACCGACCTCCATCCCTGTAACTGTTGAAAACGTTTTAGACGAATGCGCACGGCGCTCAGACGACAGCTCCATATTATTTTGAAAACCACAACCACCCCTCCATGTTTGAAAGGCTGCCGACGTCTTCAAACCCCGTGCGCGGCGCTCACGCGAGAGCCCCAGTCTGAAAACGACCCCCTACCCTCCCCCTATCGTCCTTGCAACTGTGCTCGGCACACGGCGCCCCCCTCCTCCTCCTCCTCATCCTCCTCGCCCCTCCCCCTCCTCCTGACTCCTCCTCCTCCTCCTCCATTTACCTCGAAATCCGGAACGGAATTCTCAAGGACACTCCGGGCCCATCCGATCGCTTTCCGAACGGAACCCGCTCTGCGATGTTGGCGCCATGATCCTGCTCCTCCTCCTCCTCCTCCTCCTCCTCCTCCTCCTCCTCCTCCTCCTCCTACTCCTTCTCTTCCTTCTCCTCCTCCTCCTCCTCCTCTTTCTCCTCCTCCTTCTCCTCCTCCTCCCCCTCCTCTCCTCCTCCTCCTCCTCCTCCTCCTCCTCCTGATTCTCGTCCTCCCCCTCCTCCTCCTTCAGCATCATCATCATCATCATCATCATCATCATCATCATCATCATCATCATCATCACCACCACCACCACCACCATCATCATCATCATCATCATCAGCAGCAGCAGCAGCATCATCATCATCATCAGCAGCATAATCATCACAATCATCAGCGTCATCACCATCGTCATCAGCATCAGCAGCATCAGCAGAATCATCATCGTCACCAGCATCTGCATCATCATGATCATCATCATCATCATCATCATCATCATCATCATCATCATCATCATCATCATCATCATCATCATCATCATCATCATCATCATCATCATTATCCTCATCATCATCATCATCATCATCAGCATCATCATCAACATCATCATCAGGATCAGCATCAAAATCAGCATCATCATCAGCATCATCATGACCATCATCCTCATCCTTACCCTCATCCTCATCCTCATCCTCCACCTCCTCCTCCTCCTCCTCCTGCTCCGCCTCCTCCTCCTCCTCCTCCTCCTCCTTCTCCTCCTCCTCCTCCTGCTCAGCCTCCGCTTCCTCCTCCTATCCCGCCTCCTCTTCCTCCTCCTCCTCCTCCACCTCCTCCTCCTCCTCCTCTTCCTCCTCCGCCTCCTCATCATCATCAGCAGCATCACCACCATTATCATCACAAGCATCCTCGTCATCATCGTCATCATCACCACCACCACCCCCACCATCATCATCATCATCATCATCATCATCATCATCATCATCATCATCATCATCATCATCATCATCATCATCATCATCATCATCATCATCATCATCATCATCATAGTCACCCTAATCATCAGCATCATCAGCAGCAGCAACATCATCATCAGCGACAACATCACACCAGAGAGAAACCCCAATCAATGGATAGTTTCGCTAAGGCGATCGACCAGGAACCTGGGAGCCTGGGAACCCAGAACCCACCGAAATCGGCCCAAAACCAATAACCGGGAACCCCCGAACCCGGAACCGGGAACCCGGGAAGCCAGCCTGCTACCAAAATAGGCGGGAAACTTTCGCCAAATCTTTCAGCTTTCGCCGGGACCCCTTCAGTGCAAGCACTGATTGGGGAAAAATCAGCAACAACAACACCAACAACGCGACAACACCATCAAAATCAACAACCTCACGTCAGAATCGTCATCATCCCAATCCGTTATCATCAACATCGACAAAATTCGCATCGTCGTCGCCGTATTCGCTGCCCGGTAAACACCCTGACCATCGACACGTGCATCACCACCAACATTCGCATAATCATCATCATCATCATCATCATCATCATCATCATCATCATCATCATCATCATCATCATCATCATCATCATCATCATCATCATCATCATCATCATCATCATCATCATCATCATCATCATCATCATCATCATCATCATCATCATCATCATCATCATCATCATCACCATCACCATCATCATCATCATCATCATCATCATCATCATCATCATCATCATCATCATCATCACATCCATCATCATCATCATCATCATCATCATCATCATCATCATCATCATCATCATCATCATCATCATCATCATCATCATCATCATCATCATCATCACCATCATCATCATCATCATCAACATCATCAGCATCATCATCAGCAGCATCAGCATCAGCATCAGCATCAGCATCATCATCAGCAGCGTCATCATCATCATCATCATCATCATCATCATCATCATCATCATCATCATCATCATCATCATCATCATCATTATCGTCATCAGCATCATCAGCATCAGCATCAGCATCATCATCATCAGCATCACTACCATCATCATCAGCATCATGATCCTTATCATGACCCCCATCCTCATTCTCAGCCTCATCCTCATCATCGTCGTCATCGTCGCCATCACCATCATCGAAATCAGCATCGCCATGATCAGAATCACAATCATCATCATCATCATCATCATCATCATCATCAGCATCATCGTCATCATCCGCATAATTATCATCATCATCAGCATCATCATCACAATCATTGACAGGATCGTCATAATCGTCATCACCACCAACATCATCAGCGTCATCGTCGTCATCATCACCAGTATCGACAGCAGCATCATCATCAGCAACAACAGCCGCAATAGCTGATTCATCGTCGTCAGCATCATCATCGTCATCGTCACTGTCACCATCATAAAAATCATCATCGCCAGTAGCATCATCATCATCATCACCATCAGCATCATCATCATGTTCATCCATCATCAGCTGGAACGTCATAGTGGTCATCGTCGTCGTCGTCATCGCCGTCGTCAGCATCCTCACCCTCACAATCGTCATGTGCATCAGTATCAGCATCAGCATCCTCATCATCATCATCATCAGCATCATCTTCATCGGCAACATCAGAACCGTCTTCGTCGCCGTTGCCTCATCACCGAAATCATCGCAATCAGCATCATCAGCATCATCAACATCGTCGACATAACCATCATGCTCATGATCGTCAGCATCCGCACCAGCATCATCATCGCATGTATCGTATCCACCGTCATCAGCATCATCATCATCAGCATCATCAGCATCATCATCACCATCATCATCATCATCATCATCATCATCATCATCATCATCATCATATGTGTCAGCATTAGCAGCATCAGAAGCAGCATCATCATCAGCAGCATCATCACCACAAGCATCAACATCAGTATCATCAGCATCATCAGCAGCAGCAGCCTCACCATAATCCCCATTATCATCATCAACATCCTCCTCAATATTAGATGCAGCAGTCATAATCGGCATCGCCATGGTAAGCATCATCAGCATCGGCAGAAACATCATCATCAGCATCATTATCAGCAGCATCATCACCATAATCAGCATCATCATAAGCATTATCAACATCATAATCATCACCACTATTACCATCATCATCAACATCAGCATCATCAGCATCATCATCGTCGTCGTCAGCATCACCATCATCAGCAGCAACAGCATCATCATCAGCATAAGCATCATCATCATCGGAATCATCGGCATCAGCAGCATCGCCATCAGCAGCAACAACAACATCATAATCGCCATCATCCCCAACATTATCGTCAGCAGCATCAACATCACCACCATCATCAGCAACATCATCAACGGCCACCGTGTCTGCACGGAGTGGGCGTGTTAGATTGCTCGTATGGTGGCTGGGAGGTTGTGTAATGTGTTATAGGGCCGACCCCCCCCTCGCCCACGAGTCGTTCGAAAAGCGCACGCTCTGAAAATGCTGTCAGGCGATCGGTTCGGCCTCCGCACGACCAGTATGGCATCGAAGACGGCTTCTGAGACAACCAAGGCGACGCCAAACGGCACTAGATGGCCCACAGCAGCTCAAGAGGCTCTGAACACAGCCTCAAGACGGCCTGAGGGGCCCCCAAGACGGCC